GAGGGGAAGAACGACCACAAGGTCGTGCTCCAACCCTAGGACACGCCCCTAATGGGCCTAACTTTATAATACACAACCCATTGGGCCAAAAGAGGTGACGCAACACCGTGGATAGAAAACAGTCGGGAGTAAAACGACAATTGCGACCGCCCTAGAACAGATATGGACATGTGGCTGGATTCTTCTGAAAGTAGAATTGATGAGCTTTCCATGAAGTACTTGCATGCCCAAATCAGAGTTTGCATAAAGTCGTGGTGGCCGTCAGAAGTTGGCGCTATCCTGCAGTCCGAATCCACCCCATGCGAATCCTATCCCCTTTGGATCCTCTCCATCGTTACTAAGTAAAACAAGAGTGCACGCGTCTCCGGGGTATAAAGAAGAGGAACATGAACTCAAGAAAGAACTCACATGATAGTTGAGTTTACGTGCACGAGTGCGGGTAATAGGACCATGAAGTTGTACTTGTGGGGACGTGGATGTATCGATGGTGTTGATGTCCTCATCATATTGACATACCTCTCCGTGGGTTGTTGAACTTGCCGATGTAGATCAACTTTATTCCCACAAGCTCGAAGAAACAAGCAAGAGCAAGATAAAAGTAATCTGAATTACAAATATGAATCAAATATAAATGATAAGTTGGGTTTTCGAAACGAGCAAACCAGCGATCTAACCGATCACGGTATTACACAGCAAAGTAGCAAAGCTAAACTTTAATCTAAACAAAACCCGAAAAACCATGAAGGGGTACCTAGCCATTCAAGGTGGTGGGAGGACGATCAAGGGGTCCCTAGGGTCGTGCTCCACCTGGTTGGGGCGCACCCCACATGGGCCCCACTTGGGCTGGGGTCCCAGATGAAGTTACAAGTCCATAGGCCCATTATAGGTGACGCAACACCTTGTGTTATGTGATTGTGGATGACTAGGATGGAATTTCATGATGAGACTGGATCCGTTGGAAACAGGACTATGAGAGCTTTCCATCAAGTACTCATGGGCCCAAAATGGAGCTTGTATGCAGATTTGGAGGCTATTTGAAGTCAGCAATGTAGCAAGTGGCCGAATCGGATTCCAGCATTTGGAGGACTTGATCTTGATGTCTTCTTATTGATCCATAACGTGAGCAACGGTTGTATCCATAGTAGCCATAGTCACATCACATAATGAATAAAGGGAAAAATAGCATTTCTTACACGTATACCAATTATTAGTTGTATTAGGATTAGAGAATTAACACAGTTGTAAGAATTCTACATCAAAGTGAAGGATAAATGAAGCTCGCACGTGATTTATCCTTCACTTTGAGGGACCCACAAGTCAGCTTAAACCAACTCAAAGTGAGGCCAACCGCCCAGAACCGTCTTAAGGGCCCACATGGCAGTCCCTCACCAAAGTTGGTGGGCGATGGCGGTGGCATGAGTTCGGCCGAACCATGCTTGGCGCGCCCGGCACTCCCCTTCCACGTGGCGTCTTTTCATGCACTCCTAATGGCGGTTATGCGTGGATAACAGCCTCCAACCTCTATACAACCGCCATTGAGAGCCTATAAAAGGAGTACACTCTTTTCACTTACAACACACACCTCAAGGACCAATTCTCTCTTCCACTTTGTATTTTCTACAGTTTCTAGTAGGAATAAAATTTAGGAGCTTCGGTCCTATAGTCTTCTTGGAGTTTCGGGTATGTCTTTAGTACTTTACTCTTCCTGTAAGACTATAGTCGAATTAATAGAATTACCTTCTTTATTTATTTAAAATAAAACTCATAGTTTATATAATTCTTTATTGAGTGTATGTTCTATGAGTAGTATACACTTCATATATCTGCTTCATCCTAGGCTAGTCGATCGATGCTACGGTAACGCTCCAATGACCTTTAAAGGTTACTCTAGCTCCAACCTGTTCATTCGTAGGGTGACAGTCCTGGGGGAGTTAGTGATATTATTTACTGACATAAGCATGGTGATTAGGCTATAAAAATATTGTTGTGTGCGGGTGTGCCCCACAGAAAGTGAGGTAGACGACAGGTGGTGACAGCCAAGTCCGTCATTTGTATTTCTCTATGTTTGGGTATGATGTAAGAGTGTGTAGTATTTCTCCATGTTCGAGTATGGTGTAAGAGTGTATAAATGCCATAACCACGTTGGCAGACTAGCAGGGAGTGGTCTCTCAATAGTACCTGGGTGCCTGACCACCGGAAGCAAGCTGCGCCGACTGGCCGAACACCATCCTGTTGCCACTCCATAATCACCTGCACCTTCTTGACCAAAGTCGACGCTGCTACCAACTGCCGAAGCCATCATTAGTGCTACCAAAACCGGCCCTGCTACTTGCTGCCATCGTGCCAAAGCTACCAGCTACCAGCACTGCCAAAACCGGCCTTGACAAAAGCTTCTCCATAGCCCATCACACCTTGGCCTTGGCACTGAGCTAAATTTCTCTGGAACCGAAGTTCATGCTAGACGATTCATTAGGTGCCGAACTAAAGCCCGCTGCACCTGCTTGTTCTTGATTGCAAAACTGACCAGCATGCTAGTGATTCTTCTTTCCACCATACCCTGGACCTCCATGTCTACCATGGCTGAAGGGATTTCCGCCATAGTCACGGCCGCCATTGCCTCTAGCACCTCCATGGCCAGGGTGGAAATTGTCATGAACACCAAAGTTTCCATCCCCTTCACATCTCGGCTCATGGCTCACGTTGGCATCACCGTGCTGCACAAACCTAGATGCTTCACCTAGCTCGCTCCATCGCTCGACACGCTACGGTGGCGTACGTCGGCTCAGTGGGAGAAACCCTAGCCGCACGCCTCGTAGTTATAGTTGGCCATAAGGCCCGAGGCCCGACGGCCCAGCCCACGGCACATGATTTTGGCCCAGCCCAGGTACAACACTGTCCGGTCGTTGTCAGGCCCGTGCTGGCACAGCCCAGCTGTTGGGCCGTGCCTGGGCCTATGGCTCGGCACGGTGGTCCAGCCCAGCACGGCACTTCAAGAAGATGAAATAGACTTATTTTCAACCACATGTAAGACAGGGCATAAAGAATAGGGAGGACAAATAGACATATTGTATGCCATGAACCAATGATAGGGACGTAAAATAGACTTATTTTAGTTATATATATGTCACAACCGAAAGATAAGGGAGGAGAAATAGACTTAATTGAAAGAAAGCACGATTGGCAGACCGTGCCTTCGGGCCGGCCCGGCACGGCCCGACCATTATTGGGCCGTGCCTGGTCCACAGGTTGAGCACGTGGGCCGGCACGGCACGGTCCGGTGTGTTGGTCGGGCCGTGCCGGCCCAACAGATTCTAGCCCAAGCACGGCCATGCCTGGGCCATGCCACCGCCCATTTGGCATGTTATATCAAAAGGAGCCATAAAGCCAGGTGTAAGCCAGAAAGGTTTGTTGCGCCTTTGTTTCTTGTCAGGCCCGGGATTCAATGTTCGAAACTTGCCCACTCTTCGTAAGTCGAGGTAACACATCCATATCGGATCTGCCATTCAAATTGACCATCGACGATGCCCAGGGGCCAGGGGGTTGCCGGAGCGGAAAAAGACACCAGGAGATGGTGTTTCGTTTGAAACGTTGTAGGAAAAGAATATTGAACCTTCGTGTTTGACGCTGTCGCAAGGACATCTCCGAAGTTGCACGGTGATAAAACTCTGGGAGGTGGAAGCGGACCCCGTCACCCCGCCATGGAGTCCCAGCTCGTCGGCAATGAGCATGGCCGACAAGCGAGTCAATGACTCGTTGCACTGTTGTCCCTGCTTTAAACCAGCCGACGAAGCGCTAATATCCTCCTCCGCTCATACGAGATATCTTTCCCCGAAAAACCAATTTCAGCCTCTGCAATGAACGCTTTTGTGGATGATGCCGAGGATTTATCACCCTGTACTTCATCCAGCAAAACTAAGAAACGGGAGCCTGAAGAGATCAGCGTTCCGTCGACGTGATTTTTTGGCTTAGAAGAAAACGCCGTTACCAGCTCCATTCTTCGACAGGTTCTCTCTAGCGTGAGCCTCGCGAGCCTCACGACAAGAAACCTCCTCCGATGGTGTGCTAGCTGGCTGTCCATCATCTTCGCCGGTGCCAGCATCAGCCGGCGAACACGGACTGACGCCCCTAGCCGACAATGCCTCATCGTCTCAACGCCTCTAGGACTGATATTTGCTAGATAAGCAACAGTTGCACTTCCAGGGCAGCCAGCGGCCAGCCAGCTACCACGTCGAATATACGTTGCTGCCGGTGAACTTCTTTCGCCTCCTCTCCTACTCGCTGCTTCCGGGAAAAGAGTTGGTTTTTTTTCTAGTTGTGTCATGCTATGAGTACATTTAGATCTTTTATAACGTAAAATCTAATCGGAGAGGCCTCTCACAATAGCGTTATCACACAACACTGAGACAGCCGTCCATCCCGCGCGTGTGGCGCGTCCATCCGGCACCACTCTACGTTAACTAATCAGCAAGGCCTACTAAGCCGTTACTCTACTAAAAATATACTACTAGTCCATCAAGCAAATAGAAAGCACCTATGCTTCAAATAAACTTATGCTAATAGACCGCTCTATTTTCCGTGCGGATTGTTTAGTTCCAAACTCCCCACCAGCAAACACAGCCAGCAGTAATACAATTTTAGTTAGCTCCAAAAATTTCAGTCAGCAGTAATACAATTTTAGTTAGCTCCAAAAATTTGATTGGTCTATACTAAGGGTCTGTTTGGCACAGCTTTAGCTCCAACTCCACCTCTCAAGCTATAGAGTACATCTAAAATGGGAGCGAAGTTAGGTTGAGCACTCTCACAAAATGAACGAGAGGTGGAGCTAAATTTAGCCTGCTCCACATCTCTACTTCAGATCCAACTCTTAGAGTGGGAGGAGTGAGAGCTTTATAACAACTCCTAGAGCTAAATGCAGCATTATTGTGCAAGTACTCAATAAGTGCTACTCCTACTTGACTTAGCTATTACATTCTTCAAGAAAAGAGAACAAATTTACAGAATTACAAGGAGAAACCATCAAAATGACATTACTTAATACTCCGACGTAACAGTGGGCACCGAAAATAAAATCATAGATCTACATGGAATTGTACTCATGAACAATAGTAGGTTCATAAATTGGTGAATACAATCTACCAATAAACGCTCTCTCTCTCTCTCTCTCTCTCTCTCTCTCTCTCTCTCTCTCTCTCTCTCTCTCTCTCTCTCTCTCTCTCTCTTCACTTTAGCACAAAAATAAAATCAAGAAACCAACTTATATTTATCACATTTAATGAATCAAGTAGATGTTCTATTGACTTACATAACATTTTCTATGGAAGAAGCTCCATTTAGTCAGGTCAAATTGAGTACTTTGCAATGAGCTTATCAACGTGGATGATGATATCATCAATGTGGGGACGAACTGCAGGATGAGGCTGCAGCATCCAAGTTACAAACTGGCGGAGAGAATCAGGATACGAGGGGCCAGCTTCAGTAGGCCATTTAATTTGAGCACTCTTTGTAACTGACTGTAAGCTCTCACCAGCAGCTTCATCAAGTTCATAATCAAATGGAGATTTTCCGTACCTATAAAAACAATAATAGGGTTAAATGACCTAGAACGTACAATGTAACATACAACATTCAGCAAATAAGTTAGCCTTCAAGGGGCAGGATGAAACTGTTGGTTTTACACGGTTTTATATTTGAGGGACGAAAACAAACCAAGGCAGGAATTGAGGGACGAGGAAGACCTTTTTTTTCTAAGACTCTAATGCATGGGGTACTTTCTACATAACTACCATAGTAGTATTTTTTTTTTCAGAACATAGAATATTTGATACTTGATGTTTTGATAAATTCCTTAAAATGTTTCATTTAGGCAATACAACTGTAGTGAATCCTAAAAATTCATACAGTCAATTGCTAAGTATGGAGAGATTAACTTAAATGATAAGGCCAATGGCCAGTTTTGCATAAGAAAATCTTACATCATTGCATAAAGACAGCATCCCAAAGACCATATATCTGTCCTCTCATCAATGTCAGCATGAGTTGGACACTCCCACAATTCAGGAGCTCGGTAGTGTGCAGAACAGTGCTCTGATGCCCATTCCTGCATGAATTCAATTCGGAGCCAAAATAGTAAATCCATTGCTCATTATATTTAAATATAAAACCATCAAGATTAAAGATAGCATGATATTTGCTGCAAATGATTTTCCAGTGCCTGTTAATGACTAAAAAGCTGTTGAACAGAATTTTCCATGAGTCGTTTATGCTAACTTTCCATACAATCTGTCTATCTCAACAAGCTGTAATATAAATGGAACTAAGGGTTTGTTTTGCATATTTAGATAGACAGAAAGGTACCTGTAACTGCATAGCATCTGCTTGTGATCTAATGGCTATTCTTGCAGGACGGGCACTTTCAAAATCCATCAAGATGGCAAGATGAGGTTGATCCTTCCTCTGAGTTATGAGAACATTGTCTGGTTTAACCCCATTATGAGAATAAGGTGGGTCAAAACTGTGCATATGTTTCAGTCCTGCACATAGCTGTAGGCAACACAAATCATATAAATAATAGCCCAATTCTGGCAAGAAATAGCTACCAACAGCTGATATAATTCCCAAAGGAGATTGAGACAAAATGCCATTTCAGCCATTCGTAAATTTTGCAATTCTTTATGTTATACTACATCATGGGAGAAGCTGAAGATGAAGCATTTACCTGGCGGAATATTTGGAGAATACTGATTGTTGGAAAATATTCTTTCTTTTCTAGCATATTTTTATTGATATCTTGCAAGGTTCCATCCAAATGAACTGGGAACAACAAGTAAGCCTCATGATTCTGCGACCCATCTTGCACACCCTACACCCATACAAAAAACAACTGCTTTTAATGACACATATATTTAAAGGGCAGTGGAAGGATAAGTAAGCACAAGTGTGTACTATACAGAACTTCTAATGGGAACTCCAAGAACAAATGAAGCATACATATAGAGTAGTGTGAGTCTCAGGGTTTCAATTCTCAGAAATATCAATGTTCCAGGGTTCCGCCCAGTGTGCCAATGCCGGTTGCACATAACTGGCGCACTGTGAAACTACATACCCAATTTTCGATATCCGGATAAAGGTATGCAAACTAGGTAAATAAGTATATCTCTTTACCAGTTCAAAATCATGAGTGCAGTTTATTGCATCTACTACCAATCTTGGTGTTCTTTTGTGCATGAGTGCTTAAAGAGGATTAATGGATCTCAGCTTCTGTGATTGTACACTGTAATTCACTTGCATACACATTCCCTGTACTGAGATTTTCACTTGCTAAAGAAAACTAATTTGTAATATAAATAACCACCTAAAGAAAAGCTTATCCATTGCAAGAAGAGATTGAAACTGTATCCAGATACATCTGCCCTAGAAACTACTTTTCTGAGATCCTAGCAGCAGAATAGCAACAACTGGGGCATTTATTCAGCACATTAAAGAAATTGCGATAAGCATTTGTATATAGAGTTTGATATGGATTGAACATGCCTACTTGACTGCTTTAGAATGAAAATATTAAAAAAATGAATTACTTCTTCTGGTCACAAAAACATGTCCTTGTGGGCATGCATCCAGTAAAATTTCTAAAACTTTGAGAATCAATGTCTTTAAAAATATTACGATTGAATGCATAAAAATCATGTGCATATATATGTTCAGAAAGTACTTAAATAGTATTTTAATTTTACTGGTTTCTATAGATATATCATAAAGAAAAATACTGGTGAATGTTGCAATTTAGACTTTGCAGTATATGTTCCCATGACCGGAGGGAGTGACATTTCAACTTGGTGTGCATAGAGACCAAAGGTTCGATATTACCATGTAATTATGCATAGATGATGGAAGATAAACAGTAAAACTGTAATCATCAGGAAATAGTCACTAGATTTCTTTAGCCCATCTTACCTTAACTGCAATAATAGCATTTTCAAGAAGAGGAAGTAGATTTGGATGACTGAATTGAGAGGACACTCGGATCTCCTGTCGAACTTGCTCTAAGTGCTGTTCATTCTGAATAAGAACTTTCTTCAAGGCATATGTTCCATCAGCTGAAAAATCAAAGTACAGAAATAATAAGCATAAAAAGAAAGTCAGATTACCAAGCACAACAGAGCTATCAAAACACAATGGTACATGAAAAATAAAACACATTTAGGTTAGGTTTTATTTAGGCTGTTTTGCTATTCAGGTATACTTTGGTTATTGCCTGTGATCGGTACATTGCAAACCTATTTGCTATTGATTCCTGACTTTATTATCCAGTAAATTGAGTTTGCTCCATTTATCTTTATGTGCAATTCCTATCTAGCAATCTAGGCTGCCTAGATCCATTCCTTTTTTTGGAACAAGCAGGAGATATGCGCATCATTTCATTAAGCAAGAGAGAAAAGAACAAAGGGTGGGGAATTAGAGAGAGAAAAAAAAAATACCCCCACACCAACATGTCTTACAAAAAAAAAAAAAAAAAAAGACAACCATAAACAAATACCCTAGGGCACAAGGGCCATCGACCTAGCAAACAAATTTTGGAGCTTTGAGGCTCCAGGCAAGCACCGAAGTGCTCCTTCATTAGCCACTATTTGAATAACAACAGTCGCCACACTAGGGGTTGCACCATTAAAAACACAATAGGGTTCATATGCATCCAAATCTCCCAACCAACCAAGGTAATAATTGAGTTAAAAGCTTTCTTCTCATTCTTCTGCACGAATTGGTCTTCATGAAATGGTCAGCCTCGCATGCCACAACTGATAACAATTAGGGCGGTGAAGTAGCCATTGCAAGCGCTGATCTAAGATTTATATCCTGAATGTCAACAAGTGACAGAGAAGCCTTATAACTAATTCTAATATCAAAGTAAAATGAAAAATCACAAACTAAGCCAAGCAGAGCTTAAGTTAGAAAATAAATGATTAAGCTAGAAACGGAATGTTCACCGTACCTGGTATTGACGTTTGCTGATAATCACAAAGACTTTTAAGGTAATGTCAACAAAAATTAATGCCTAGTGGGCCGGATTGTCTCCTAGCACACTGATCACCGACTGAGATTGCTAAAATGAGGAATATAAATTACTCCAATGTGACAAGGCTACCAAATTATGAAGTGAGTTACGAGACCACGTGGAAAGCGTGGTTAGCAGCTAGTCATACAATATGTCTCAGCTTTCTTGAAAAGTTAATACTAGCTTCCATCCGAAAAAGGGGGAAATTTCATATGGGCATCGACATGACTACCAGAATAAACTAAAGAGTAAATTTCACAAAACTACATGTTTTATGGTTCAAGTTGTAGAAAACCACAAACATTTTGACACTTGGCACTTAAGTACATATATTTTGGTAGTTTAGTTTCACAAAACCACACTATCGATGAATAGATTCACCCGTGAGATGACGTGGTCGTTCCATCTAGGATGAAGACGGCATCCTATTAATTTCGTGCGATGGCGGTTAATAGGATGACATGTCCTCATCCTAGATGAAATAGTCACGTCATCTCACGGGTGAATCTATTCATTGATAGTGTGGTTTTGTGAAACTACACTACCATACACTACCAAAATATATGTACTTAAGCGCCAAGTGTCAAAGTGTGTGTGGTTTTCTGCAACTTGGACTACAAAACGTGTAGTTTTGTGAAATTTACTCTAAACTAAAGAATCCTCAATAGACCACCTTAACAGAAACTGAGGCTGCGTGGATTTAACAGAAATGAGAGAACTCATGCGTTGATCTGAATAAAAAGGAAAACTCATTCTTGTGACACATAATGATCCATCCAACCAATCAAGACATTGAGCAGATCCAAATCCATTCACGCGCGATCCAACCGAACCACCCTCAGATCTGAGTTCATGTGGGTGAGAGAGGGAGTGAGGGAGGGAGGGAGAGAGAGAGAGACAAAGAGGAGACCTGAGATGTGGGATGGATCGATGCCCTTCTTCTTGGCGAGCCCAGAGGCGCCGGGCACCGCCCCACCAGTGCCGTCGGAGGCGGTGGCGGCGGCGACAACCTCCTTGACAAGGAAGACGAAGGACCCCGCTGGCCCGGCGTCACCGAGCCTGCGGACGACGCGGAAGCGGTAGTCGTTGACCCAGATGTCGCCTCCGCCGCCGCCGACGGTGTCGTAGAGCGCGTTCAGCCCGGAGAAGGAGCACCCCATCGCCGCCGCCTGGAGCTCGTCGTCAGGTTCACGACGGTGCTTTACAATCGCATTCGCTCGGCTCGGACAAGCCGCGTGGGAAGAAGACTCTTCTTCCTCGGATGGTGCTGGTGCTCGGGAAGTCGGGATGAGATCTGGTCTGGTGGTTTCGATCGGGGTGTTTGTTGGCGCTTTCATAAGCAGATCTCGCCTAAAAAGTTTAACTTGGCGTATAACGCCGCCTTGCTTACCACTACCAGAGCCACTTCGGTCAGCGCTTTGCTGCGGTGAGCAATTTATAAATTGTAGAATTTTAAAAAAAATTTGATCATATTTTGTAGAGAAGCTATTTTTGATACTATCTTAAAAAAAACTGCCTCAAGTTTTTCTTGAAGAACCTTCAAATCTAAACTTATACTCCTTCCGTACTCGTGAAGGAAGTTGTTTTGGACAGCGACACGGTCTCTAAAACACAACTTTGACTTCTTGTTTCTATAAAAATATTTATTAAAAAGTGATATATGTATATTTTTATGAAAGTATTTTTCAGGGCAAATCTATTCATATAATTTTTATATTTTTAAACTCAACAACTTGAAAGTTTTTCATGATTTATATTCCGAAGGTTTAAATTAAATATTGTCATTACGAGTACGGATGGAGTAATTATAGTATAATTCCACTATAACTATACTATAACTATAATATAACCTGCATATAGTATTAAAATAATATATGTAACTTTATATCATATATTACAGTGCAGTTATATAGCATATAGTATTAAAATAATATATGTAATTATATTGTAGTACATTACAACTGTGCTATAGTTACATTTGAAAGTTTTTTTCCCAAAAAACTTGCGACGGTTTTTTAGCAATTCCGTTTATTTTTTCCCACCATGTAACGCGCCTCCTAAAGCATGAGCAAATCATCCATTCCAGAATGGGCCAACAACTTTTACTCATTTCTCATTCATTGAATCCAACCGCTGCTCCACCTCCACGGACGGCCATCTCCCATTATACCTCGGTCATCCTCAAACATTACGCCACATGGTCATCCTTGAACAGCGTGCCGCACGATCATCCTTGATTGGCATGGCACACGGTTGTCCCCAATCGCCGCACTTTTGCCAAAACTTTTATCGTTCTCATGTGTAAAATATAAGTTTCACAGTCAATGATATCAAAATATTCCACGTATGCACAAAAGCGTCATTAAAGAGTTTCAAGCAATTTAATACGTGAACTCAAGTTATTACCATGCACATCCGCTTGTGTAAACTATAAGGTCACAATCAATGGTGTCAAAGAAAAAATCCCCATATGCGTAGAAGTGACATTAGAGGCTGCAATTCCATATGTGCACTGCAAATCAATTCCATATTCGCACCTACTCTTATGAAATATAAGTTTCACTATCAATAGTGTCAAAACATCTCCATACGGGCAAACGAGACACTATAGATTTGTTTCAAGCAATTCCATATGCATACTACAAAACATTCCCACATGCTCACCCATTTGCGCAAAATTTTACCAACAAATAGTGTCGAGAGATCCCCATAGACGCAAAATTTACATTGCAAAGGTTAGGAGGGATTTCATATGCCACTACAAATCATTCACCAAACAAAAAGGTGACAAATGAGGAGTTTCAACAGCTTCCTTATATTTCTTTTATGCACTACAAATCATTTCCACAAGCGCACGAACACAAATAAAATATAAGTTTCGCAACCAATAGTGTCAAGCAACCAATAGTGTCAAAAACCCTTAGATAGGTTTTGAAAGATCCACACGAGCACTACAAAACATTCCCACATGCGCATCCACTCGGGTAAAATATAATTTCTTCAAACGATGGTGTCAAAACATTAAAGGGTGTCAGCCTTATAGCCAAGGGATCCCTACTTGGCTAGTTAGCTTAAGTTATAAGGAAAGGCGTCGCCCTACGCAGTCAATGGGTCAACACCTTTCCAGATGGGTTTTAGCTCGATGCGTCTCGGGAAGCGTGTCTTTCACTGTTAAAAGTTACGGACACATTCTAAGCCTGAAACAGCTGGGAACTTAGGCCACAGCTTAGGACTTACTAGGCGTAGTAAGGGCATGTTTTATAGTGGAGGTAAGTGCCACATCTAATTTAAACCATGTCTCGGTACATTACTTAGTCTAACTACTGCTCTTATTTTATATTTGTGTTGTTATAATTGTGTAGGTAGCCTATCAGAGAGGTGCAATGGTGTGGGTTTAGTGTCCAAGTTATCAGTTGCTCTATATCAACTGCAGAGGTGTAGAGTAGTATTTATTAATGTAAACATGGTGCTTAGATTACTAAATATCACTATCTGGGCATATATGCTGCGGGATAGTAGAGGTAGCCCGCTGATGATGACAGCTCAGTATGAGTATTCCTCCACGTTAGTATATATTCCTAAGAAAAATTTTTTGGGAGGGTACTCCTCCGTATTTAGCCCCGGTTGGACGGTCATGACAGATTGTCGTAAGAAACTCGGCAACCCGAGGTGGTCGCTCGAAACACCGGAAGGGCACTGTTAGGGGGTATTGGCCACATTATTGTATACTAGCAAATGTAGACTAGAGTTTGAGTGTATATTAGAAGTATAGGAATTGAGTTCTTTCTATCTCTTCTTCCACTTAGTTTAGAATTATTTATTATGAAGTAATCTAAAAACTTCACTTCGTGTCACTCTACCCTTATATTAAATTAACCCCTGCTTAGACTTTGATGAAAGCAAGTAATATATATATATATATATATATATATACATATATATATATGTATATATATATGTGTATATGTATATGTGTATATGTATATGTGTATATGTATATGTATATGTGTATGTGTATATATATATATAGGGATGCGCTAAACCACACCCAGGGTGCGCTCACATCCATCCCGCACAAACTCCCCCATTACTCCCTCTCCAAAAAACATTTCTTTAAGTAAATCAATTACTATAAATGGTTTTAGTTCGATAAGTAAACAAGTTACTATCAAAAAGTTCCCCACACTATCAATTTGGTTCCTTCTTTCAGTAAATGAATTGCTCTCATGTAGTTGTCAGCTCTTCTCTTAGTAAATAAATTACTTAGGATATTAGTATTCCCAATTGTTTCGTATACCTTCTTAGTAAGTTAATTACTTAAAATTAACATATTGGTATCGCCACGAGATTCCTCTTAGTAAGTAAATTACTATTACACCGATGGTTCTCAACACAACATATTGATCTTGCCATAAAATTTCTCGTAGTAACCAACTTACTATTACACTGATGGTTCTCAACATTGTCTCTTAGTAACTAAATTACACTGATGGTTCTCAACATAACATATTAATCTTGTCACAAAATTTCTCTTAGTAACCAAGTCACTATTACATATTAGAGCAAAATCTTACTAAACTACAGTACCTCTGTTTCAGTGTTCATGCTTCTTACAATCCATTTGAAGAAAAGCCAATTGAAAGAAATATATATATACAGGAGTTAACATCAAGTCTATTTTTCACAAACAATGTCGTCGCACTTTCTCTCTCTTGCTTCATGCTATAGAAATTCCTCGTGCTGAAGATTGCAGCATCTTCTCAAATCCTCCAACCAGTACAATTTTCATATTTAGTTGGAGAATCACGAAAGGGTTAAGTATAATCAACCATAAACCTCAGCTCGGGTGCTCCTCAATCCATCCGGTGACAGAGTAGCAGCTGCCATTACCATAGCAATCAAATTCAGAGGACCAAATCAAAATTAGGAGAGCCTACAACTGCAGCCAAGTATTTGTATTTAAGCTGAATAACAGATCAAAAACATCACGAGAATGCAAATGAAAAATGGCAGAACTGCAGGGATTCTAAACAGCTGCTTTCTTCTCATCACCATCGCGCATCAAAGAACAAAACGTGCCACACTTTTAGAAAAGAACATGGATTCCAATACCAAAAAAAGGGCACCCGAAAAAAATTAGAGTGTTGTTAACTGAAAGATGTAGAAAAGGTAATTGGGATGCTTCAGGCTAAAAAGATGCAAATATCGCTGATTAATAACACACAATTTATGAACTGAACCTAGCTGCAGCCGATGTCGTCGGATTGGTGTGGATGGAAGGTGCTCGATCTGTGTCGTCGACCCCGCCGCTGCCAGCTGTGTTGAGCCACCTGTGAGGATCTGTTGGAAAAGGATCAAATCCTGCTTGCCGTATGGCAAACCATGATTAGCAAATTATTTGGCAATGGAAGCATGATTAGGTGTATCTCATTACCTTCCTACCGTATCTAATTTGGAAAACGGCCACTACAGCCGTACATGCATGGGACACAAACCGATGACATCTAAGAGCATCAAAGAAATTAGTCTCTCTTGGGGTCTAATCATTCAACTTGTGTCTGCATCCTGTTCTGGAAGCAATAGAAAACAGAAGACTGCAAGTTATTTTGGGAATCGTATGCTCTGCTATGCTGCATGCCACAGAGATTGAACAAAAAATACAGAGGATGATGCTATGTTTGCCTCACCTCGGTGGGGAACTGTGGAAGGTAGATGCCGGATCTGGCTCATCTCGATAGCGGCACCGATTCTACCATGGCTAGCAGAAGCCGACATGGGAGGAAACTCGCGGGAGAGGGGAAGTTGAAGATCGGCGACGGCACTCCACCTGACTCCATCGACAAATCCACCAGATCCACTGACTCCTCACCGCTGCCGCTAGCGAGAACAGATCCAGGACGCCGCTGCCTCCTTCCTGTAGCCCGCCATCACCACCGCACACTGGCCAGCCGTTCCCAGATCCACAAAAATCGGATACAAGGCTGGTGCAAAAAAAATAGAAATAACCGTAAGAGATGGTAAAACCAGTATATATACATGCCAGGTGTTTTCTAGCAGTAAACAAATTACTCCAGAGATAAAAATGGTGGGGTGGGGGGTAGCGACCCGGGATGGGGGTGGGGGGTGGGCCGGTGGGGTGAGGAGGGTAGGGGGTGGGTTGTGTTCTAATACAACGCACCCCAGGTGTGTGTATATATATATATACAAACGTATTAAACGGCACCTGATACAGTGACTAGATCCACCCACTCCACCCACTTTGATTATGATAGTCAATTTTTGACTACTACACGTCCTCAGTCCCACGTACTGCGCAACCCCCCTTCCCCCCACACCACCAATGTATATCCCCACAACACCACATATATTGATTCACAAGTTAAATTTTTACTACTATATAGCTCACCATATATATTCATGTTTAGTCAGCTAAATTTTAACTATGTGTGATTCAACAACTATAATAAACGTCACGTAGTCACGTGTATCTTTTTTCAAATTTTTTAGGAATCACTTTTTTTTACTCACATTGAAACAAATCAGTTATTTTTTAACTGCCATCGAAGATAGTCTTTTTTTTTCACTCCAACTCATCCAGGACACTGAGTTATTTTTAAACTACTAGTGAGCGTGCACGTGCAAGGCACGTCGACATATATCGACCATATACATCCATTGCCTAAATCAATCATGAGGGTTAGTATATGGCAGTGTTCACCTAGTCGCTGGTTGGGCGGTTACCCACTGACTAGTGACTAGGCTGACTAGCCGGCGACTAGGCGGATTAGGCGTTTTTTCTAAATTTTCTACAAAAATATACATTATGGACCAAAAATACCAATGTATGATATGTTTTGCACATGATTTAGGACCATCAATTTGAATTTAGACATCAATACATCAATCAAACCTCTCAAACATCACCATTGAGTACATACATCAACATCAAAATTCACACAGTCACATACATAAAGATCTAGGGGCTGGAGGAGTTGGAACAGAGGGGTCGCCCATACAAATTTACCTGAAATAGATCAGTTGTCACAAAGAACGGCGGCGTAGCAGGTAGCAGCAACACCGATGGATGGAGAAGCAGGACAGCTACAGAGTGCCATTGCCCAGGCCTAGCAGTTGCACGACAGCCACTGCTTCAATCAACACCACCGTCGCATGGAGCTTCCATCTTAGACGAGGAGAGGCTAAGAGGGAACGACGAAGAGGAGAGGGAGCAAGAGTAGAGCAGCCGGAGAAGGGGAAAATCGCGGCAGCGGCGCTATCGCTTCAAGTCGAGAGGGGAAGAGAAAGCGGCGCAATAGGAAGATGCGCAGGCAGCCAGGTAACCCGTAACCCTAATCCCCTTCCGTTCTATATGTAGCTGGGCCCCCACGTCCTTTTTTTTGCCGCGCTTCCTTCTTTTTCGTCCCCTGCATCGCGCCCAAAAATTTGGTCGCCGCCCATCGCCAAGTCGCCGCCTAATCTCTCGCGCACGCTATCGAAAACGCCTAATTTTGTTCCGCCTAATTCGCCTAGGACCGACTAGGACCGATTAATCGGGAAAACAACTAATTTGCTGACTAGGGTGTAATCTGGTCGTGTTGCCGCCGCGTAGCGATTAGTCACCGCCTAATCGGATTAGGCGGCCGTCCAAGCGAACACTAGTATGTGGTAACATAAATCATAAAAAAAAACCATGTTCTGGTGATGTAATTTTATTGAAATAAAATCATTCCCGAAGATGTTGATAGTAAGTCCTATATCAATCCTCATTGGTTATCTTTTCACATGTTGGCGAGCTTACAATATCAATTTGAGATTATGTATGTACTTATAGATTTCTTGTTTGATCAAATTTATTTTGAATTTGTAAAAATAAACCCCCTACGCCCTTGCCTTTCTCTGTCATTTTTCTTTCGTACACTGACATTTTCCCTTTGCATGTCTGAAACAGCAACAAACAGACTAAGCATGTCAACGGGTGTAAGTTATTTTCAAGATGAGCCGACGAAATAAAAATTTTGATATTATATCTACTACAGTAGTATAGTATGATCTCACACAAAAATAAAGCAAAAACAAGGATGGATACTGCATTAAAGGCTCTAAAGATTTAAAACTAAAATGCACATACACATCAACAAATATCTACAGTTGTAAAAGCATTTTAACTTGATCATTGACCAATGTTAAAACATTGAAGAGCACGTGCAAGGCACGATTTTTTTAACATATATTATAGGAGAGAACAAAATATAGAGTAAATTTCACTCTCAATCATTTTCATTACCATTGTTTCGTTTTGAACCACCCTTTAATTAACGTTTTTGCTTTGGACTGGGTAATCTTGCATTTGTTCCACTTTTGATTACCCGACTCTCTTTTCAAGTATATGAAAGATTTTGAGTGCGTCAGCTCCTATTTATCAATGAACTCCCACAACTATATATAGACCAATTCTTTTGACATATGACAAGTTGGATTAGGTGGTTAAAAAAGTTGAGGGAAGTCTAAAATGCCACAAAGGTAAAATTGGTTAAAGGGTAGTTTAAAGCGAAACATCGATAATAAAAGGTTGTCCAAAGAGAAATTTACTCGATAGGAATATAGCATCACATTTAAAAATTAGAAAGTATTAAACTTTTCTAAACATCGCTTGCTCTTCATCTATTGAATTGATAAAGGTATTAGTTCTTGCATACAGCAAGAACCAAAACAAAATACAAAAAATCATTTCGTCTAGCCTTTTCAAAAGATTAACCACTTTCCTAAATATCGGTTGCTCTTCATCTATAAGAATTGATAGAGGTGTTAATTTTGCATACAGAATTAACCAAAATAAAATGTAAAATTTCCTTTCATCAAGAAAAACAGCTTTAGCCTTTAGATAATGGATAACAACATTTGCTATACTTTTTCCATATAGCTGAATGGTTGTGTTTTGCCACCGATAAATAAGTACATTCATACAGGGTCATCGTCAGCACGCTATATGTTTGCTCCAAGCCTCCAAATCATCAGCTCCGCCACCAGACGTCTTGACCAAGCTCTAGCACCCCTGATGTTACTTAGCAGCAACACCTGTATTTCTGCTGGTATGTGCCAAGAAATGACTTATACCATGGCATGACTAATTATCAAACACACAGTTGGCAAAAGCATGTAGACCTGCACAATTGTCTTGTCGGTTTTCTCTTCAGGGTTGAGCAACACATAATTGGACGTCATCATGATGTATATATGGAGCAAGGGGTCGAGTATTCTCCAAGAAAAAAAAAGCAAAATTATGTATCTTATCATTTATGACTACACAAATGCCCACTATGAAATATTATGAGAAATACCAAACAATAACGGGTAACTAAGAATGCTGTTAATAAGCTTAAACATGAATTTTACCTCAAGGTTCCAATATACACTGTAGGAATAGCTCTTAAAAACAGTGTACCTAACAGTGAAATGCCATGGTGAACCATGATAAGATTTTAGCAAAATATTCAGTTATTGTCTACAATGTCAACCTGCATTTACAGCAAACTGCATTACAAACAACATAAGTAAGCCATTATATTTAGATGCCTAATAGAATTACACAGATACTTTTTTATATCACGGTTTCTCTTATTGTTATATACCAGAAACAATTTACAAACCTAATTTGCAGTTTTATTAAGCAAGGGAAGAAAAAGAGATTTGATACTTGCATGCATTACATAAAATTTTGACCATGGACCACATAAAGTATTCGAGACCAAGGAACAATCAGTTTTAGTTTACACATGCAGAGCTTTAAATCACAACATACAGTGCAAAATAGAGTAAATATGAGATAATAATAAGGATTCAAACAGTAATAGGAGTGCACCTCGACCATGCATTTCATCAACCAGTTGGTGTGCTCGACCATGCATTTCATCAACCAGTTGGTGTGCTGGATGTAATTTCTTCTCTTGTTTGTTTTTAAATCCGTAATCATTAATTTGACATGTAAATGGTCATGAACTGCAGCTGAATCAGGTTTCTGAGTATGTTGCTATTTAAGATGTAAGAAAGTCTGCCATGAACAATAAGAAATTTCAGCATCGTTATCACAATATGACATTATAGTTATCATCAGCAGGAATTTTTCTGTTATTATCATCTAAATTTTGCATCCAAAATGGTTGGACTGTATAGTTATTTTTTCGGCTCACAAGCAATGAGAAAATATTTTCAGCCATCTGGGTTCTCATTTCACCTAGAAATATAGAAGGCCACATTTCTGGGCCCTCACCTCGCTATTGATCCCCAGGATGAGCGGTACCCTTTATATTTAGTCTAAATCAATACTAATTATCTCACCTAAATAAAACCCAAAGCATGTGTTGGCACCAATTGTTCGTAATTTACTTGCCAAATTTCGTAAATCCTAAAAACAAAGTGATCAAGATATACCAGTAACCACATGATTTGTAGGCAGCAACATGGTCTCTTCATTTTATAAAAGAGTGTACGCTATAAAACTTATGTGCGTTGCTCACGTATGAACCCAACAAATTCATTGTACACTAATCTTGTAATTCAGGTTCAGATGAAAGATCAAAATAGCATCAATGTGAATACCAGGTATAGCTAACACCAACAAAAGGCTTTCTCTACTGTTCCAATTTCTTATCCTGCAAAATTATAAGAAACTGCAGTACTTAGAACCAAACACAGCCTGCATTCAGAAAAAAAAAACTACAGAAATTTACGAAGCTAACTTAAAGTAATTAATGTAAATCTTCATTGGTCATTAGAACATCATATTTTCAAAGAGGAAAGACCATGCTCACAGCGATTATATATAAATAAAAACATTAGTAATTGTTGCAGCCCACTAATTTTAGGAGGATTTACCTCGGCACGTTTAGAAGAAGGATCGATGTAGACCATTTGCAGGATTTACGCAAATACAGTTAGAACTTAGAAGGATGCAGATCAATATTGACTAATGGAATAACAATCTTATAAATCCATTAGGCATAAACACAATGCCCCCTCCAGCCGCTGCATCCTGAAAAGTGTCTCCCCACTGCAATTAGCACTTTTCAAAAGGCCACTCCGTGCACAGCGCCCAGTCCTC